CTTACCGGCCAGTTGGGTCCAGAAGCAACACTCTGACATTATCAGTATGCCCCCTCAACTTCATACTTTTTGAACCAGTTCTAGGGTCCCAGACACGTAAAACCTGCAATAAACAAAAAGAACTGAGTAGTATTCAGAAAATATAAACCTATTGATTGTCTGTGTTCTTGTTCTCCAGTATATTCTCAGCAACCTGGATTGTATGAATACCTTCTCAGTGCCACCAGAGACAAGCATCGTCCCGGTATCATTCATTGCCAAAGCATAGACAGACTCCTTATGGCCTTTGGCAATTGTTGGTGTGTACCCATGGGATGGTGATGACTGCACAGAGATATTGTTGCTCGAACCAACAGTTCTTAAACTTGTAATGGGTACAGAGTTCCCAGGACCATTTGCACCATTTGAAGAACTATCTTCCATTGTATCATTAGGTTTCGTAACTGGTGACAAAGCAGCTTCAATATCCCATATAAAAACCTCCCCTCCAAGGCCACCGGATGCAACAAAATTGCTCTAACAGTTGTGACATAAGGAATAGGATCAGAATGTGACAAAGATAAATAATATGTTCTAAGGAAAGAAGCATGGAAGAATGACAAATTACATTTTTTGCCGCAACTGCCAAACAAGTAACATAGTCAGAATGCTGACGGAAAGTCCTTGTACAGACTCCATCTGATAACCCGTCCCATGTCTAGAGTGTTACAAAAAAAAATTAAGCCGCATTTACAAATCAATATGGTGGTACAAAAAAAAAAGGTACAATGTTCTTTATATACTGCTAGCAACTGTAACAAAGGCGAGTACCTTGACCGTGGTGTCTGAAGAACAAGAAACAAGAGTGCTTTCACCAGCCAAAGCAGCGTCATTCACCTAGTCAATCAACAAAGGGGATTTGAAATTAACACATATACAAAAGCACAAGATTCACCTCAGGAAACACAGAATCCTAATTACTAATCATCACTATGCAGTTAAATTTTAGTGTTAGAAGAACTCTATACCCAATCAACATGAGACTCAAATGTAGCTGAGCAAAAGGTCGCATCCTCATCAAATTGCCATCTCTTGAGTGTACCATCACGACTTCCAGTGAAGAGGTAACTTTGATCACTAGACACAGACGACTTCAACACATCCAAGCAATTTATGCCAGCACAATGCTGCAGCGTAACACATTAAAACAAAAGAACATCATCAGAATTGAGTTCAGAAGGAGATGTCTATAACTTCAAACTAAGTGTTGTCTGATTAAAGAATATAAAACAGTAACACAACCCCAAGTGGTAAGAACCATATTGGAGTAAAACAACCTGACCTTTGTGTCGTTGGCATCATTTAACACATACGTAAGCTTTTTCTCTTTGCGAGTGCGGACAGAACCGCCATTACTCCCGGCACTTCCAACCCGGTGCATTTCAACTTATCCTGAAAGAAGAAACAGAAAAAACATAATCAGCAAGTGAGGGACCAAGCAGACTAATTAACATCAGCTCTGTTCCAAATTCAAAAACGAAACAAGACGAGCACGATATTGCTATGAATCTCTCTCTCTCTAGAGAATCTCAGATATTACGGAAAACAACAGTTCCCCACATCGACAAACTGTTGATAAGCTCCCAAAATCCCCCATTGATTCGTCCCAGAGGCTAATTAGCTACAGAACAGCTAAATCGTATGAAACATCTTTTCGAACCATCAAAGACCAAACCCAATTTTTGGCTACACAAGAGACAGCTTACGAAATCATAGCTACTCAACTTTAAGACTCCCTAATTTTGATCAATACACAGTACGAAGAAAAAACCCATCAATTTTCACATCCTCATTGAACATCAACGATTAATTCCAACGAGTTGCTAAATTTCTAACAAAACAAAATTGAACAAAGAGACGAGAAAAAAAAAATTAGGATAAAGTCGTAAAGGAAACTATCTACATACCTTTATCTGAACTTCCGATGTAATTGATGATGATAACTACGAGATTCAGCAACCTCAACACACTTTTCAAACGAGAACACACACGATAAAAAAACCCTAGAATCGATCTTTCGCGCGGGAAAGAATCGAGATTTGGGAATCAGATTGATCTAGAAAAGCTTGCACAAATTTGGAAATAGGAGAATAATTTATCAGAGTCAAGAAGGATAAACAAGAGCAGCCTTTTTCCAAGGCGTGATTGCGTTTCGGAGAATTG